CACACACACACACACACACACACACACACACACACACACACACACACACCCGGCGTGTCTGTGTCGGAACCCCCTCGCGCGATCCGGCACCCTGCTTGAATTCAACGCGAGCCGAAAACAGGTGTGTCCCCGGGGTAAACCTGCGCCCCAAATCTCGGGGACTCCCACTCCATTCCTCCGGCCCGGGGGGATGTGCACCAGGTGGGAGAAAAGAGCCGGACTTCGCTGCATTGGGTTTCACTCTGCCGCGCGCTTTTGTGATGCTGCTGAGAAAAGAAAGGAGGAAGGGTAAGGGAGAAAGGCGGAGAGCTTGGGATCCAGGGGCGGCCGCTCCGGCGTCTCCCTCGGCTCTGCTGTGCCAGCCCCGCTCCCAGATTCCCGGCCCGCCAGCCACTCACAGCCGGGGCTTCCCCGCCGCCTCCTTGCCCAGGCGCCTTCCCGGGGAACCCCACCGGCTGCCGCGCACCGAGCCGGGGAATCCCGGCAAACTCGCTCCCCGCGCCGGGGACGCCCGAGCCCCTGCGGAGCGGGCACCCGCACCGCAGCGCAGCCTCGGAAGGGCACACGGACCCCGGCCGGCGGCTCTCGGGGCCGGCGTGGCGCCCTGGGGAACACCTCCTGCGCGCGCGCACACACACACACAGACACACACCACCCGCAGGAGGACAGGCCCGCCAGGGACAGCTCGCCGCGCTGCCGGGGCGCACGAGCCGCCGCTACTCACTCGTGAGTCAGCCGGTCCGTCTGTTCGGCTGAGAGTGGAACGGCGGGAGGTGGCGACCTTGGAGGTGCGAGAGTAGTTGGGAGTCCCCTCAGGAGGCAGCCTCGGTCCAGCCGCCGAGAATCAGTGAATAAAGTCTGTGACTCAGGCTGAACTCTTCCCCCCACCCCTCGCCTGTCTCCCTAGCCTCTCCGGACCCTCGCACACAGACGCGCCCCGAGAGGAGCAGCAGAGGGCGCAGGCGCGCGGGCAACCGCCCAGCCCAGCCCAGCCCAGCCCAGCCCGAAGGCAGCGAGCCACCCGGCTGCCCATCACCTGAGAGGCGGGGGAACCCGAGGAGCCAGAGGGAGCAGGTCTCCAGAAAAGTCAGCTGCTGAGGTAGAGAGCCCACCCGGAATAAGGAAATTGTTTCTGTTCGTTTATTCTGTGCCGTGGACACCCACCATGTCTCAGAAACCATAGTAGGTTCTGGGGACGAAAGATGAACAGGACAGATCCCTGGACGGAGGAAACCTCTGTCTTGTGGAAGACATACCCCTGTAAGTAGCCTAAAACAACGTGGTAAATTCTATACAGGGTAACACTGGAGAACCTAATATCCATTATTAACCAATTAGATCTTCATTTCCAGGCAGAAAGAAAGGCATGTGCAAAGGCACCGGGGCACGGTGCTGAAGGGAAATAGGTAGGTGAGTCGCAGGGTGATTGCAGGCGTGGGGCAGAGGGTTCACGGCAAGAGTGGCAGAGTAGGAAAGATCAGCAACGGCTTCATAAGTCGTGTGCTGTGAGCTCTGAAGGGCCAGTGCCATTCTGACTTGGTCACCAGAAAGCTGGTTCTGGCAGTGGTGGGTGAATCTAAGCCACTCGGAGGGCATGAGACAAGTTAGGAAGCCACCTCAGTGGTGGGAGCATGGAGAGGAAGGAACTGCTTGAAGACACTGACAAGGTAGAAGTGGCCAGACTTGAAAGCTGATGTCATCTGGAGACTGAGAAAATGGGCCAGTATAGGATGTCTCTCAAGCTTCACACTTGGGTGACTGGGTGGATGAGGTCCCAGAAAAACATAGGAGGATAAACATGATCTTAGGGTAAAGATGCTTCTCCTTTAGGTGCATTGACTTCGAAATGCCTTTGGGACATCCGAGTGTACATGTCCCATAAGCCAGTGGACATATAACACACAGGCATCCCAGATTAGGGAAGTGGATTAGGAGGCGTTAGCCTGAGACAGCATGAGGTGAAGAAGGAAAATGGTGCAGGAGATCTGAGGAGAGGTAGGCTAAGGGCAGGGCCCTGGGGACACCGTGATCTGAGAGCCGGAGAGGGGAACATCTAAGAAGGGAGATTAGAAGCAAGGGTCAGAGAGATCTGTGAAGAGTCAGAAAAGAGGGACTGTCTTAGAAGCCAGGGGAGCAGAAAACTTTAAGAAGGGCGTGCTCAGACGCAGGAAAGGCTGAAGAGAAGCCAAATAGGATGATAACCGAAAAGAGCCCATTAGCTGTAGCGTGTGGGAGGAGACTGAAGAACTTTGACAAAGGAAGATGGTGATCTAGCTAGGGGAGGGGCTGTTCTACCGGTGACTGCACTGACCACTGCTGCCGTGCCAAAGTCACTTCAGTGGCCCCGGCCTTCAGTGAGAGCGCTGGGTCAACTTTACAGCGTGATGAGGGAAGTGGAGAGAGATGAAGTAACTTGGTAAAGGCACATAGCTAGTCTCGGGATGATTAAAAAGTCCATGCTCCATAATACTTCATTCCCTAGGGAAGGCTAAAATAAGCTTGCAATCTGCTTTAAGAATCATTTTACTCCAAGATAGATTTTTTTTTTAATTTTTGGATAGAGAAATAAGCTTCCACTAACTGTTTCTTATAGTGTTTTACGTGACAATTTTAAAGGCCCAAAGATAATAGATTATTTATTCTCTTAGCAGAGCCCATTTAATACTGGAAAGCATCACGGGATAGTGAAAAGAGTATAGAATCAACGTGAATTTTCATCCCAGCTCAATTATGGCCATGAACAATTTATTCAATGGTTATTTATCTTGATTTCCTCATCTGTAAAATGAGGACACAATTACCTACTTGAAAGTACCAAGAGGGTAGAATGAAATGACATAGGTGAGACATTCAGCCTGTGCCTTAATGCACAGTACAGCCAATAAATGTTCGTGCCCTTCTCAGACAGCCCTGGACATGAGATGTGCATACTTTGAAAATGTGCTCTGTCACATCAATCCTTCTTTTGCTAAAAAAAAAAAAAAAAGTCCATGCTCTGACCTCTGAGCCTACACTCTCTCCCTTTTAATCATATAGCAGCTTGACTTTTCAATGCATCTTGTATCTGTTCATTATCTCACTTTAGCCCAACATCCACCATATGTACAGCTGATCCTCAGAGGACAAGATAAGTCAGCTGACACCAAAGAACAGTCGATGTGTGCCCCAAATCCACGTTGAGATAGCGCTGATCCGGCAAGTACCAAACTGACCGATCAAACAGGGCAAAGACGTTCATTCCTCATCCCCTGCCCCGTCCCGTCTTCTTGAGATGCCATCAAGCCCACTGTCACTTTTCCATAAACAGGAAATATGTCTCCAGCTGCCACCCTGGCCCAGATCTCAGCTACTGTGCGGCACTTGCTGTACCTGATTACTCCTCTGAGCTTATTCTGGATCCAAACAGAATCAATCTTCCTCCTATTACATCCTTGCAAGCTCTGTGGCCCATTCTCTCATTTCAGGCTCAGCCACAGACATCAGTGTTCTCCAGCAAATTCAATCTGTCGCAGCAGAGGGCTTCCTCGCTGAAAGTCAAATAATCGTGTCCCTGCTACGTGCTGTTTATTCATGGTCAATTACCACAGTTACACCAGAACACAATTCTAAGAACCTATAGGTTTTTTTATTACTACTAATGGAAAGATCACGATGTATAGACAGGATACAAAAGGTCCAATTAGCTACTCATACAGGAAACAAGAAGAAAACATTTAGCGACAGACATTCTTGAGCTTTCCCTTTCATAGTTAGACTTTGGAAAAGGCCAGGTGTACCTCCATCAGCCCTAATCTTCAGATTCAGAGAAAAAAAAGATGGACTGACTTCATGGGATTCTGCTACCCCCATGGCTTATTTCACACGACATGAAAGAGTACAGTTGCCGAGACCAGAATACCTGCCTTGTTAGGTATGTTGGGAGAGGAAGCACATGATTATAAACTCTTCAAATTTCCAGGCATGCTGATGCTTCTTCTAAGTCACTAATCAGTCTAATTTACACATAAATTGTCTTTCCCAATCTTCATATAATAAGATGTAGCTTTTGGAATTACCTAGGCCATTCTATGGGCTTAAAATCTAGCTGCCCTGGAGAATGGGGCAAGGAAAGCAGAAGGGACCCCTTCCTCCACTCCCATCCCTTTTTCCTTAAGAAGTTTCCATTCAGAGGTCTCCCAGACAAAAGAAGAAGAACTGGGTTTGGGTCTAGAATATTTTCTGGGCTTAAAATATAATACATAGTTGCCAGTACTCTAATTGAATTAGGTATTGGTTCTTGAAGAGAGGATAAGTTGTATTTTAAAGATAACATTTCATACGTACATATAAATTCAGTTCAATGTATTTCAATATATATAATTGAAATACAGCTTTATTTTCACAGACTCTGAAGAAGTATACAGATTACTAACCTCTGTGACATAATTAAATTGCGTCTCTATTCTTTTAATTTAATTTTTTTTTTTTTTTTTTTTTTTTTTTGGCGATGCTATGGGGCTTGCAAGATCTTAGTTCCCCCACCAGGGATTGAACCCATGCCCTTGACAGTGAAAGCGCAGAGTCCTAACCACTAGACTACCAGGGAATTCCCGACATCTCGCTTTTTTTTTTTTTGGCTGCGTTGGGTCTTTGTTGCTGTGCACGGGCTTTCTCTAGTTGCGGTGAGCAGGGGCTACCCTTCGTTGCGGTGCACGGGCCTCTCATTGCGGTGGCTTCTCTTGTTGCGGAGCACGGGCTCTAGGCGCGCGGGCTTCAGTAGCTGTGGCACGCGGGCTCATTAGTTGTGGCGCACGGGATTAGTTGCTCCGCGGCATGTGGGATCTTCCCGGACCAGGGCTCGAACCCGTGCCCCCTGCATTGGCAGGCAGATTCTTAACCACTGCACCACCAGGGAAGCCCCTGTATTAGTTTTAGATGTACAATATACTGATTTGATATAGTATGTATATATTGCAAAATGATCACCACAGTAAATCTATATTTGGTTACAATTTTTTTTTCTTGTGGTGAGGATGTTTAAGATCTACTCTCTTAGCAACTTTCAAACATCCAACATGGTATTACTGATTATAAGGTACCCGCTTAACAGAACTTGGCATTTATTCCCTTACTGAGAAGTAAATTTCAATCCGGGTAAAGCAGAAGAGGGGCAGCTCTGGCCCTGGGGTACAGTGGATCGAGTATGGTGACCACCATGTCAGTTTTAGCACTGCAAGTCCCCAGCCCAAGAAACCAGTCTGATGAACACTCGGATACTTGGTCACCCTCTCTAAAGGAGCCAAGAAATCAGGCAGTGTCTCTGGGAAGCAGTCAGGACAAGATGCCAAGACTCTATCAACCAGGACCTCCTAGAAACTGCTACCTCCCTTAATAAAAATATGCCAGAGGGACTTCCCTGGCGGTCCAGTGGTTAAGACTCCGCGCTTCCACGGCAGGGAGCATGGTTCGATCCCTGGTCGGGGAAGTTCCGCATGCCGTGTCGTGCAGCCAAGAAAATAAAAAACAAAACAAAACAGAATGCCAGATACTCCAAGGCTAGCAATGAGGAGAAAATTCCCTGTGAAGAAGAGACCTTTGTCCCCAAAGATTCGCATTCCCTTGAAAGATTTTCGTAATTACCTCTGCCGCCACCAGGGCCTGGGGAAGGCACGAGAGAGGAGAGGCCATCTGCCACGGCCCTCAGCATCTCCGCCCATTCTTTGTGGGTATGTCGAAAATGCAAGGCCCGCGCCACTCTTCACCCAGGCCAGTTCTCAGGGCTGTGTTTGCAGCTGGCAACCTTGAGGGGTGAGGTAACCTTTCCAACCTGGCCAGAGAACAGGCTTGGTTCTGCGTACTTCAGGGAAGCCCCCCAGGCTCAACGCTCCTCCCCTGTAATGCGTGTGCAGGCGTCCGCAATGGACACTGCATCACTCC